TGACAGTATATAAAAGAATGGTGTATGGAATGTGGGGTACCTCTGCTGCATTTATAAAAAATGTGAGATACATAACCAGACACTGCATTTTCCTTCCTGCCCCTCCTACCTTAAGAACATAAGAGACGCCAACGTTGGATCAGGCCAAAGGCCCATCCAGTCCAACACTCTGTGTCACACAGTGGCCAGAAATACCAGGTGCCATCAGGAGGTCCACCAGTGGGACCTTCTCTTTGACTCTTACTCATAGATCTCTTCAGCTTCTGCCTTCTCCACTTACTCTCACAGTCTGGTCCCCACCTTTCCCCATTATATATTCACCACATTTGTACCCCACTCATCTCGGAATACAGGGGATTACCCCCATTTTACATTCAAAGCAACCTTGTTAAATAGATTAGGCTGAAAGAGAGTGAGTGGCCCAAGGTCACCTAATAAACTTCATGGCTTAATGGGGAATTCACACTCAAGTCTCTCTGATCCAAGTTCAGCACTGTATCCTTTAGAGTAGTTTCTGTGTCTGTCCTAGTTTGAATCATGTTGCTTAGTTATTAGTCAGCTGGGTAGTCACACCAACATTTGCTGAGGTGGGAACTGAGATATGAAGCATTTGTGTGGAATTCAGACCTGTGTATTGAGTATCAGTAGGGTGTTTTTGTTGTTATGAAGACAAATGCAGATATTGTACCCTGCCATACACTGGTGCCTAATTCAAACCCTAGATTTTGCACAAAGTGCTCTAGAGCAAGATTCCCATAGGAATCCCACAGGTTCACCTTTCTAAGAATAAGCAACATGAGGCTGTGATACCCCAAAATAAACCCAAAATTCCTTTGTACAAAAACCTGGCTTGGGAGAAGGCATCAGTGGATGTTACCTTGCACGGCACAGTATACAAAGCCAGGCTGCACTGGATGCCAATAGCATACCAAATCTGCTTCGAAGTGCTTACCTTTAAAGCCCTACATGGCCAGGGTCTGACTTCCCTTTCCTCACATATACCCCCAAGAGCACTTTGGTCCGGGACACAACATCGCCTGGTGGTTCCAGGCCCCGAGGGGCAAGGCTTGCTGTGGTGGCCCCTACCTGGTGGAACCAGCTTAAAGACTGTGAGCTAACTCACACTAACTTAGAGGGAACACTGCATGGGATGGTCCAGAGATTACTTCGGGGTTTAGCAGCCTCCAGTTTCTTATTCTTCTGCTTGCAGTGCAAACCCCTGGGATTTTTAGGGTAACTCTCCTTTTAGACCACATTGCCCAGTGATATGAGGGGTATGTGGCTTTGGACCACATACCCCTCAGTGGCACACTGCACAGAAGTCTCCAGATTCCAGAAACACAAGAATTAAGTTGCGGTGCTTAGCACACTCGTTCACTGTTCTTCAGTTTTTAGCAATGCAAACAGAATTCCAGCAGGCATTCCACTTGGGAGCACTTGGGGCAGAAAACCTGCTTTGGATAGGTAGGGCTGAGCCGGCTGAAACTAAACCCAGCGAAGACGGAGGTCCTGTGCCTGAGTCAGAGCGGACCGGGGTTGGGGCTCCCTCTCCCGGCTTTC